GGCAAAAAGTTTAGCAAAGGTTCAATAATTAGATTATTCAATTTGGCAATGTAGAATACATATTTTACCTTCAATGGTAAGTTGTATGAGGAAACAAGATATTTGCCTATGGGATCTTGTTTAGCCCCTATTTTAGCTAATAACTACGTGACCCAATTTGAAGTTTTACTGTTTTAAGAGACACTCCTAGTTCCTCCCTGAACTAATAAATATAATAGATGCAAACACTAAGTTTACAATAGAGTTAAAAAGGATAATAAATTACCTTTTTTGGATGTATTAGTGAGCAAATAAGGTAATAAGTTAGGTAGGAAACTCACTCACGCGGGCTTCTTTATCAATTTTTTTTCAAACCATACATTTAAAATGAAATTAGGGTTATAAAATCTATGATAATAAGGAGTCTGCGTCTTGCAGATGCAGAGATTGGTAGAATAAGGCATATATTGCCTCAAAACGACTACCCATTAGGATTAGTAGAAAATTACAAATTAATTGTAATTTACAAGATGGAGGGAGTTTGCTATTAGTCGGAGGATATAAAACTGGAAAATTCTACTCGATTCCTGATTTTGCCTTACGTCAAGTTGTGAAAAAGTTGGGTGAACTACTGAGGAAATAGAACACAAAAACAATGTATAAAAAGAAATTAATAATTTCTTCAGTAGTTCCTTCGTTTAGAGAATATTCAGACCCTCTTTCTTGATCAGGCTGCTACAAGGTTTTGTGCTCATATGGTACACGAAACCGCTTGTAAAGGTCTGTGGGTCCAAAAATCTTAGCTCGCTGAACAAATGACCAATACAGGAGACTAAATAGATTGGTCTAAAGCACAACGTTTTGCGGGTTAAGAGGACTTCACATCATAGCGTAAGCTTAGGAAGGCTATAGAAATTAAAAAACAGCTAACGTCCTGACTAGTAGGGACGAGTGTAGAAAACTAAGTAGGAACCTTTTGTGGCTGTTGGATAGAGTTAAGGAAAGGATAAGGGAGGGGGTGCAGGAAGAGTCACTGAGCAAGAGAAGGAAGCCGGATTAACCTCGAGTTTATCTTTCT